TATGTCCCTGGAACAACCCAAAACGATTTTTCTGTTGGACAGGTAGCCTTTAATCCAGCGGGAAAGCCATCCTCCAACATCCATTCTGCAAGTTCACTAATTATTACATGTCGGTTGGCTACATCGAAAGCGAATTTAAGGTCAAGGGAAGGGAGTGTAGGAGCTGTCAGTGTGCAGGGTGAGAAAGGGGGCTATGCAATGATGCACACTCCTTCCATGCATGAAACCATTAACCGGGAGACAAAAATTTTTTGATTCTGTACATGAGACGATTAAGAAACATTCTCTCAAATGTTTACACAAGCAGATAGTAAGAGATATTGGCCGAAATGCATTTTGTTGATTGGGCTTAGGAATTGGAATGATGAGGCTGTTGGTCCAAATTGAGGGAGCCCCCCAGTTACATAGCTCATGTTATATAATTAAAGAAATGGATTCCCTGGTACTCGACACAGCAATCTGAGTATGTTGTAAGTAATCCCATCCTCACCAGGCGACGTGGGTTGCCCTTAGTTAGTGCTGCATCAAGTTCATAATTAGTGAAAGGAATGTTGCAATCATTGCCTTGCTGAGCATAAGCAAACAAGTCTCCCCCTTTGCATCATATTTGTCATTTAATTTTGCCTGTTGGGTACGGGGAAGATTGTCATAGCTAGATGTAGCAGCCCAAGCACTGACTCACTCATTCGCCCTATGTAAGGGATGAGGGTGCGCGATCTGCCCAGTTCTGTTCCCCTTAATTCTATTTATGCCCTCCATGCCCGGCTAAGTGGGGTGTGAGCTTTAAGGGACCTTTGACAATTTTTCCGTCTGTTTGCCGTAGCTCTGTCATACGCTCTCTGGCAGCAGCAAGGGCAGTTTGGAAGAGCCTCAGCATTCCAGGGGTACGATGTTTTCTATAGGCTAGGCCTAGTCTGCGAGCAGTACGTTTCAGTGTACGAAGTTTAGAATCATTGTAATAAGTATGGTTTTTAAAGGAGGTATGATTATTATGGAAGTTTGTTGGGTTTAGAGTACCAAGAGGTTTCAGTGGCGGCTCTAAGTAGTTCTGAATACTGCTCACAAGGTCATTGTTAAAGGTCTCTACAGAGGAACACTCATAGGAATTATACCAGTCACATGTGCAACAAAGTCATCATGCTGATCAGTGGGAACATTAAAACGTTTCCGTTTGAATATCCCACCAGGAAGGATAGTATTACAAATATCTAGTGAGGTTAGCCTAGGGAAATGATCAGACGCTATATCTGTTACAATGGAAGACTCACAGCTGGCAGAAGTAATGTTGAAGCCCAGGCACAGATCAAGGATGCCTCCATAGATATGTGTGGGTTCAAGATCACCTACAATTTGGACATTATCATGACTGTTTAAGAGTGACAACAGTTGATTACCATTACGATTACCAAACTGTGAGTTTCCAATGCTTTTGTGTCTCGCATTGTAATCGCCAATAATAAGAGTAGGCTCAGAATGAGCACAAGTTGGGAGCTCCAAGTAATTAAATTTATCAGCAGGAGCATACAAGTTAAATATGTTGAGAGCAGAGTTCCCTATATAAATCCTAACACCGTGATATTGTAACCCAGACCGATAGCACTAACATCACATAAAAATCTTTGAGAGGGTTCTAAGAAGCAAGTTCGCCAACCACCTAGATACCCATCAGTTACACAACCCAGGGCAACACGGGTTTAAAGCAGGTCGCTACTGCCTGTGTCAGCAACTGGACCACTATGACAAGGTCCTGGATGCTGTAGAGGATAAACAAAATACAGATGTAGTATACACAGACTTTGCAAAAGCTTTCGACAAGTGTGACCATGGTGTAATAGCACACAAAATGCGGGATAAAGGAATAACGGGAAAAGTTGGTAGATGGATCTATAACTTCCTGACAAATAGAACACAAAGAGTAATAGTAAACAGTGTAAAGTCCCAGGCAGCTACGATGAAAAAAAACTTTGTTCCACAAGGCACAGTACTCGCTCCCATTCTATTCTTCATCCTCATTTCTGACATAGACAGAGATGTAAGTCATAGCTCCGTGTCTTCCTTTGCGGATGACACCCGGATCACCATGGCAGTGACCTCCATCGAAGACACTGCGAGACTCCAAGCGGACATCAACCAAATCTTCGAATGGGCCACTCAAAACAATACGAAGTTCAACGAAGAGAAATTTCAACTACTCAGATATGGAAAACTTGAAAAAAATAAAAAAAGTATCAGGGTATACCACAAATTCTAAACATATAATGGAGCGGAAAAGTAATGTGAAGGACCTGGGAGTGATAATGTCAGAGGACCTTGCCATCAAAGACCACAACAATGTATCTACCTCATCTGCTAGGAAATTGGTAGGAAGGATAATGAGAACCTTCAAAACTAGGGACGCAAAGCCCATGATGATTCTCTTCAAATCGTTTGTGCTCTCTAGGCTGGAATACTGCTGTACACTAACGGCCCCCTTGAAGGCTGGCGACATTGCAGACCTGGAGAGTGTACAAAGAACTCTCACGGCACATATAAGCACGATAAGGCACCTAAATTACTGGGAACGGTTAAAGGTCTTTGATCTGTATTCCCTGGAACACAGGCGAGAGAGATACATGATAATATACACTTGGAAGGTCTTGGAGGGATTGGTACCAAACCTGCACACGAAAATCACTCCCTATGAAAGCAAAAGACTCGGCAGGAGATGCAACATTCCCCTATTGAAAAGCAGGGCGCCACGAATACACCGAGAGACAACACAACAAGTGTCCGGGGCTAAAGACTGTTCAACTGCCTCCCAGCATACATAAGGGGGGTTACCAATAGACCCCTGGCTGTCTTCAAGAAGGCACTGGACAGGCACCTAAAGTCAGTACCTGACCAACCGTGCTGTGGTTCAAACGTCAGCTTGTGTGCGGCCAGCAGTAACAGCCTGGTTGATCAGACCCTGATCCACCATGAGGCCTGGTCTCAGACCTAGCTGCGGGGGCGTTGACCCCCGAAACCCTCTCCAGGTAAACTCCAGGTAAACCATAGCTGACATCAATGACATGCTACTATATAGAAAGTCGCTTGTTATGCTGAGCATTTCTCGCAAATTAGGTCAGTTTTGTCCCAGGATGTGACCCACACCAGATCACTAACACCCAGGATGTGACCCACACCAGTCCAATAACATTCAGGATGTGACCCACACCAGTCCACTAACACCCAGAATGTGGCCCACACCAGTCCACTAACACTCAGGATGCGACCGACACCAGTCTACTAACACCCAGGATGCGACCCACACCAGTCTACTAACACCCAGGATGCGACCCAAAACAGTGCACTAACACTCAGGATGCCACCCACACCAGTCCACTAACACCCAGGATGTGACCCACACCAGTCCACTAACACTCAGGAGGCGACCCACAGCAGTCTACTAACACCCATGATGTGACCCAAAACTGTGCACTAACACCCAGGATGCCACCCACACCAGTCCACTAACACTCAGGATGCGACCCACAGCAGTCTACTAACACCCAGGATGTGACCCAAAACAGTGCACTAACACCCAGGATGCCACCCACACCAGTCCACTAACACCCAGGATGCGACTCACAGCAGTCTACTAACACCCAGGATGCCACCCACACCAGTCCGCTAACACCCAGGATGCGACCCACACCAGTCCACTAACACCCAGGATGCCATCCACACCAGTCCACTAACACCCAGGATGCCACCCAGACCAGTCCACTAACACCCTATGGCACTGTGTATATGTGTCTCATTCATCAAGGCTGACATAGTTGATAACAAGTATTAAAAACCTCTCCAATTAAAAGTCTGAAGGATCTTTAGAAAGCCATAGAATTAGAGAAAATATAATTGAAGTGTATAAATTGAAAACAGTAATAAACAAAGGGGATCTACATAGAATTCTGAAAATATCTAAACAGTATAGGACTCGCAGCAGTGGATTCAAGTTGAAGAAATATAGATTGAAAACTGATAATTGGAAGTATTGGTTTAGCAATAAAGTTGCAGATAAGTGCAACAAACTCCCAAGTAACGTCATTGAAGGTAGTACCTTGAAAAACTTTAAAAAATGGGTTGAATGGGTTAATGGGTGTGAGTGGGTGGGTGTGAGTCAGACGTTAATAACAGGACCCAATAGACTTGTTGTAGTGTTTCTTCGTTCTTATTTTCTTATATATATTTATACTTTTCCTGATCTATCCTCTTCAAAATTATATTTGTTATTCTCTTGGGTAACTGTATATTAACAAATAATGTGTAAATAAGTTTATCAACAGTAACAAAACTACATATACTGGTAGCTTATACAAGACTGCGCACACAAATAATTTTTTCTAGGGTGGATATGCTGCCTAGGATGCTGCGAGTCTATTAACACATTCAGTCATAACTATTTAGATAACTATAGTGTATTAGATGACTGCGAGTGTTGTACAGAATATTTATTTCTCAAAAAAAAAAGTGTTCCAACTATTACAATACATAAAATCTGACAAACTCAACATTCGGAAACTTTAGCTCATAAGAAGCTTTTCAGTCGAATGAAGTGAAATTGCTCCAGGTGAGTCAAAGAAATTCCAACCTATACACATGTGCATATATATCTGTGGTTATTATATACCCTGTGTGATATATATCATTCAGTGATGGTTACCCATAGTTGGTTCTATACATGATCGTTCCCCGGCCTAGTCCAAGACCAGCCTCTCCGTGGGCACCACAGTCTGCTTGGCAAGAAATTTCTTTTAGGAGGTAATCGTCGTAGTAAAGTGTCTTGGGTAAGTGTCATGAGAATAATAAGGGTGCATTTGTAAGTGTGTCATGAGAATAAGGGTGCATTTGTAAGTGTGTCATGAGAATAAGGGTGCATTTGTAAGTGTGTCATGAGAATAAGGGTGCGTTGGTAAGTGTGTCATGAGAATAATATCCCCAGTCAATGTAACTAATTCATCTACTATTTAACTCTACAGGTGCTGCGTGCCAACGCTAAGGGCATATACCTGCCACTCTGGGGCATCTGTCTGGGCATGATAATGGTCACCTACCTGTCAACTAACAATAATTACTGGTATATCCCGTGCCATGCCAACAACGTCGCCAGCAGTCTGGATCTGCAGGACGGTACGAGGGAAGTCTACACAAACGAGGCTTCTTAAAGAAAAAAGATATTGATAAAAAAACTACACTGCTCTTCCCTGGAATAATTCTGATGTCTTCCTCTCCCACTACATTGTAAAATGCTCCAAACTTCAGAACACACGCGACTTAACCTCATTCTTCTTTTTCTTCTTCTCCCTCTTCCCCTTTCCTCTTTCCTTTTTCTCCTTTGGGTTGTCTTTCTTCTGCCCTATGTATTTGTTCCTTCTTTATTTATTCATTTATTTTCCCCCCTCTGTGTTCTTGCTTTTACCATCTGTGGGCACCTAGCTCCCTTGTGGGCACCTAGCTCAATTGTGGGCACCTAGCCCCCTGTGGGCCCTAGCTCCTTGGGGGACCTAGCTCCCTTGGGGGCACCTAGCCCCTTTGTCCCTAGCTCCATTGTGGGCCCCGCTCCCAGGGGCACTCACTCCCTTTGGGCATTACCCCCTTGTTGGAAACCTGCCCCCTTTTGTGGGCACTTCCCCCTTGTGGGCACCTAGCCCCCTTGGGCACCTAGCTTCCTTGTGGGCCCCTAGTCCCTTGTGGACCTAATCCCTTGTGGGCCCCTACTCCCTTGGGGGCACCTAGCCCCCTTTGGGGGCACCTAGCCTCTTGTGGGCACCTAGCTTCCTTGTGGGCACCAAGCTCCTTTGGGCACCTAGCCCTTTTTGGCACCTACCCCTTTGTGGCACCTAGTCCCTTGTGGGCACCACTCCCTTGTAGACCCAGGTTCCTTGTGGGCACCAGCCCCCTTTGTTGGCACCACTCCCTTGTGGGCACCTACCCCCTTGTGGCCCCTAGCTCCTTGTGGGCCCTAGCTCCCTTTGGGCACTTAGCTCCCTTGTGGGCACCTAGCCCCTTGGGGGCACCTAGCTCCCTTGTGGGCCCCCTTTGACCTTTGGGCACCTACTCCCTTGTGGGCACCTACCCCCTTTGGGGGGGCCTGCTCCTTGTGGGCCCTAGCCCTTGTGGGCACCTACTCCCTTGTGGCACCAAGCCCCTTTGTTGGCACCTACCCCTTTTGGGGGGCACCTAGTCCTTGTGGGCACCTAGTCCCTTGTAGGACCCGGGTTCCTTGGGGGCCCCTAGCTCCCTTTTTGCACCTGCTCCCTTGTGGGCACCTAGCTCCCATGTGGCACCTACTCCCTTGGGGGGCACTAGACCCCTTTTGGGCACCCCCTTTGGGGGCACCTAATCCCTTGTGGGCACCTCTCCCGGGGGGCCCTAGCCCCCCTTGTGGGCACCTGCTCCATTGTGGCCCTACTCCCATGTGGGCACTCAGCCCCCTTGTGGGCATTTAGCTCCCTTTTTTGGCCCTAGTCCCTTTGGGCCTTAGCTCCCTTGGGGACCTAGCCCCCTTGTGGGCACCTAGCCCCTTGTGGCCCCTATTCCCTTGGGGGCCCCTAGTCCCTTGGGGGCACCAGCTCCCTTTGGGCACCTAGCTCCCTGGGGGGCACCTATCTCTTGTGGGCACCTATTCCTTGTGGGCACCTCCCCCCTTGGGGGCACCTAGCTCCTTTTTGGGCACCAGCCCTTTTTGGCCCCTAGATCCCTTGGGGAAACCTAGCCCCTTGTAGCACCCGGGTTCCCTTGGGGGCACCTAGCTCCCTTTTTTGGCACCTGCTCCCTTGTGGCCCCTAGCTCCCTTTTGGGGAAATCAGCTCCCTTGTGGGCCCTAGACCCTTTGGGGGGGGCCCAGCTCCTTGTGGCCCCAATTTCCTTGTGGACACCTAGCTTCCTTGGGGCCCCAGCCCCCTTGTGGGCTCCCACTCCTTTAGGCACCCGCTCCTTGTGGGCACCTAGCTCCCTTGTGGGCCCCCACCCCCTTGTGGGCACCTGCTCCCTTGGGGGCACCCAATCCCTTGGGGGCACCCGCTTCCTTGTGGCACCCGTTTCCTTGTGGCACCTGTTTCCCTTGGGGCACCCAGTTTCCCTTTGGGGAACCCAGCTCCCTTGTGGGCACCTAGCTTTCTTGTGGGCCCCCCAGTTCCTTGGGGGAAACCCCATTTCCTTGGGGGCACCCATTTCCCTTGTGGTACCTGTTCCTTTGGGGCACCTAGTTCCTTGGGGGGTCCCCAGCTTCCTTTGCACCTAGCTTCATCGTGGGCCCCTCTTCCTTGTGGACACCCGGTTCCTTGTGGGCCCCCGGGTTTCCTTGTGAACCCCCAGGTCCTTGTGGCACCCAGGTTTTCCGTGGGCACCCATTTTCCCTTGGGGGCCCACCCAGGTTCCTTTTGGGCAGCCGGTTCCTTGTGGGCCCTAGCTTCCTTTTGGGCACCCCGCTTCCTTGTGAGCACTTATTTCCCTTGGGGGGCCCACTTCCTTGTGGGCACCCCCTTCCTTGTGGGCACCTAGCTTCCTTGTGGAAACCTGTTTCCTTGGGGGGCACCCAGTTCCCTTTGGGGGACGCAACTTCCTTGTGGGCAAATAGCTTCTTTGTGGGCACCTGTTTCTTTGTGGGCACCTATTTCCTTGTGGGCACCTAGCTTCCTTGTGGGCCCCAGGTTCCTTGTGGACCCCCAGTTCCTTGGGGGGCCCCGGTTTCCCTTGTGGGCCCCCCCTTCCTTGGGGGACCCAGTTCCTTGTGGGCCCCAATTTTTTTTGGGGCCCCAGGTTTCTTTGTGGGCACCCGGGTTCCTTGGGGGCACCCAACTTCTTTGTGACCCCCAGCTTCCTTGGGGGACCCAGTTTCCCTTTGTGACCCCCGGGTTTCCTTGTGGGCCCCATTTCCCTTGGGCCCCCGGGTTTTTCTTGTGGGTCCCCCGGGTTCCTTGGGGGCACCCGGGTTTCCTTGTGGGCGCCAGCTTCCTTGGGACCCGCTTCCTTGGGGCACCTAGTTTCCCTTGGGGGCACCCAGCTTCTTTGTGGACCCAGTTTCCCTTGTGGGCCCCCACTTCTTTGTGGGCACCTACTTCCTTGTGGGCACCCACTTCCTTGGGGGCACCCGCTTCCTTGGGGGCACCTCTTCCTTGCAGTACTCTCTTTTTTATATTGACTGGTCCTCCTCCCCCTTACTACCCCCCCCACACTATCCCAAACCTTCACCCCCACTACTACTACTACTACACTACTCTACTACTACCCCCACCCTGCCTATTTATCCCCTTCCTTTTCCTTTTCGTTAGTGTGATTTTCATAAAGGTTAAGGGGGCCCAAACGTCGTCTAAGCTCCTCTTTCTATGTGGGGTTATTTGGTATCGTTCCAGTCAGGGTTTTGTCCCTTTTTTTTCTCGTTATTTCTTTTAATATCTTTCCTTGTGGTTGTTGTTTTTGTTTTTGATTCGATAGTAGTCTCCCAGCGCGCTTTTTCCCAAAGGTTTACCCACCTTTTCTGGGGGTGCTGAGATATGTCTCCCATGGGAGGAGGTACAAGTACCTCCTCATCTTCTGGGACCAACTGTCCCCAGGCCTAGCCCCATTCCCAGCCCTCACGGGGATCGTAAGGAGAAGCTAGGCCTCTGGTCATGCGGTGAATAACCCATAGGAGCATCTAACTGTCAATTTACAGACGGCGGCTCGAACCCCTCGACCACCCATCTGTTTTTTTATCGATAGATATTTATTACAACTTAAACTGAATTCATAGGCGATGCAGCCTTGCACGGTGTAAGAATAAATATACTGTTAAAGCTCCTGGGCCGAGGGAAGGAGTTCAGTTGGGTTACATATGGTGCCTCTGACGGACTGTAATTCATTATTACCTGTGTTAGAGGCCTTGGTTACCTAGCCTAGACGGTAGAGAGTTGAACAGTTAATTTATGAACCGCAGTTCGAGCCAACAGTCCACATTTCTGTTTATATCTTTCTTTCAACACACCGGCCGTATCCCACCGAGGCGGGTGGCCCAAAAGGAAAAACGAAAGTTTCTCCTTTTACATTTAGTAATATATACAGGAGAAGAGGTTACTAGCCCCTCGCTCCCGGCATTTTAGTCGCCTCTTACAACACTCATGGCTTACGGAGGAAGAATTCTGTTCCACTTCCCCATGGAGGTAAGAGGAAATAAACAAGAACAAGAACTAGAAAGAAAATAGAAGAAAACCCAGAGGGGTGTGTATATATATGTTTGTACATGTATGTGTAGTGTGACCTAAGTGTAAGTAGAAGTAGCAAGACGTATCTGAAATCTTGCATGTTTATGAGACAGAAAAAAGGACACCAGCAATCCTACCATCATGTAAAACAATTACAGGTTTCCGTTTAATACTCACTTGGCAGGACGGTAGTACCTCGCTGTTTATATATATATAAATATATATATATATATATATATATATATATATATATATATATATAAATATATATATATATATATATATATATATATATATATATATATATATATATGCAGTAAGATCACAGTAAACAGGCGATTTCAGAATATGCAAAACAACCACTGTGAAAAAATAGAGAAATTCCAAGCGCCTTCGTGACTACTCACGTTATCAAGGAACTATGAAAGTAAAGCATCAAAGGAAGGTATACAAAGGGGTAGCCCATACCCCACTATCAGATCCCACAACAATTAAACACTTGACGCGTGACTCATAAGAAAGCAGGCCCACCGGCCCAACTAGACAGGTCCTTCACACAACCCACCAACAAACTATTCTACCCAAGAAATAAGAAATTTTAAAAATTATTATTTGTCCAGTGTATTATTAAATTCTTCCCAAATTCTATTAAATATAAATGGATCTAATTTATATAAACCAAAGGAAATATTCATATTGTCAAAACTGCTTTTTATGAAACAAGATTCAATTATATTCCTGTCGACCATGGACTTGCTTGATACTACTTTCTCAACTTTTTGAAAATCAATTGGATGGTTAAAATCTCTTACATGAATAAATAGAGCATTGGAATCTTGTCCAGTTCTAATGCTTTATTTATGTTGTTTTAATCTTAGTTCGAGATTTTTACCAGTTTGACCGTAATAAACTTTATCGCAAATTTTACAAAGAATCTTATAGACACATCCATCAGCATT